CTGGAGAGGGTCCTTCACCTGGAATCCCCCTCCCCGTGAGCCACAGACCTCTGGGCAAGGTGTGCAGGCTCCAGGGGCATCATCAGTTCCCCTGCTTGAACCTTGGCTGGGCATGGGGCAGAAGGGGGGGAAGCACAGACAGGCCTCGCTGCAGGTCTGTGCCACACACATTTGGTGTCTGCTGGGGGGATCCAGACAGGGAAAAGAGAGAGTGGATGGAGCATCACTGCCTGAGGATGTGGAAAGGTGATGTTAGGCAGACACACAGTGCCTGGTTCCCCAGCTCACTGCAGTGCCAGCCAGTCCCTGTGCAGTGAACCAGACGTCGTGATGAGGAGGGAGCAGGCTGTGGAGCATCACTGGTGCAAGGGCACATTCCTGCACCAGAGAGTGCCCACATCTGTGTGCCAGGGCCACAGCCTGACTAACTGCCTCTCTCTCCCCCTGCCCAGGCTCCCCTCTCAGAGACAGCCCCCGGGGGGCACCTCAGAGACAACAAGATGAACCCCACCGTTGGCATCGCTGTCATCCTGACAGGTACAGCTGGCAGAGCACACCCCTCCCTGCTCCCCCGGCCCAGAGCAGCCAGGCCAGGGCCTGGAGGCTGCATGGGCACCCCCAGAGCTCACTGTTCCCTGTCCAGCTCCCTCCTGCCTCTCTCCCAGTCCTCCAGGCCGCCCACTGTCAGATGATCAAGGACCTGAGTGCCTGCCTGCTGGGGCAGAACCTGCGCGTGGACTGTCGCTACGAGAACAAAACCAGCAACCCCCTGACCTACGAGTTCAGCATCACCAAGGACAACAGGAAGCACGTCATCCACAGCACCATCAGCGTCTCGGAGAACATCTACCGGAGCCGGGCCAACGTCACCATGCACAAGAACCTGGTGTGCCTCCACCTGCAGAGCTTCACCACCAGCGACGAGGGCGTCTACATGTGCGAGCTGAGGGCCACCAACGACTACACTGGCAACCAGATACGGAACATCACCGTCATCAAAGGTGAGGGGGGCAGTGGCACCTGCCCGTCATTCTGCCTCTCCTTCCCACCCTCTCCTTGCCTTGGCAGGGCCAGCAGAGAAAACACAACACCCAAACCCTCCCCGACCCCCATAAAGGTTTCCCAGCCCTTCCTACTGCACCCCCAGAGATGGGCTCACTCCACCCCATCTCAGACTGTTTTTCCTGCCTCTCTTGGGTCTCACCTCAGGCACATCACCCAGGTGTCATTTCACAGAGAGGACAGTGGGGATTTTCCACACCTACGTCCCACAGGAGCAGCCCTCCAGCTGCAGAGCCCTTCGTTTCACCTGGCGCCCACCCCCTTGTCACCTCAGCCAGGAACAGGCAGGGTTATGCCTCCCAGGGTCCCCAAAATCCTTGCTGCAACGTGGTGGGAGGGAAACAGGCAAGGGGCCTGCATTTCTGTGACAGAGAAAAGGCGAGAAGCTGTGCCCCGGCACCATCATAACACCCTGTTCCTGAAGGATTTCACTGCTGCTCTTCTCTCCCTCCCTGTTCCTTCCCCCCGCAGACAAACTGGAGAAATGCGCCGGCTTCAGCCTCTTGATCCAGAACACCTCGTGGCTCCTGCTGCTCCTCCTCTCCCTGCCTCTCCTGCAAGCCGTGGACTTCGTGTCCCTGTGAGAGGAGAAGCCCCAGGCGCGCACACACCCGCCCAGGCACGCGCANCCTCGGGAAAAAAGAGAAGCCGACCCGTGTGGAAGCCGTGAAAGCTCTCTGTGTTATCTCTATATAGCCGTGTATCTAACGCTCCCCACCGCCATCCCACGCACAGTGCCCCGCTCTGTGCATGGCGGGCTCTGCTAAGGCAGCGTTGTTGCTTCTCCCACCGTGCCCTCCCCGCTCCGCAGGCTGGCTGGTTTTGCTTGGGCTGGGAGCGCTGGAGCCTCAGCCTCGCTTGTCCCGTCCCTTTAACTTTTGGGGTTTGCCCGTTCTCCACTGGATTGGCAGGTAAGAGAGGGAGGGGTGGGTGGTGCGAGAGCGTGCGGAGGGTCCCCGTGGTTGGTGCTGTGCCCGCAGCCCCCCGAGGTGATGGGGCTGTCGGTGTCCCCACCTGCCCTGCCCACCAGCCAGGTGACTGATTCCTCATCCTGCTCCTCGCCCTGAGTCACCCCAAAATGCCATGACTGGGAGTGGGCATGAGGCGAATCCTGTCTCGGAGCCAGCAGGGAGGAGCAGAGAGGAGCAGCCATGGGATGCTGGGTCTGGCCAGGCTGGGAGGAGAAAAGGGAGCAGGTCTAGGAGACACCTGTGAAAGTCCCCCCTGCCTCCTCAGGGTTCCTCTGAGGCCCTGGGAGCGGGTTCACTGCAAATGTGCTCTGGCAACAAGTTTTTCCTAATCTGTTTCTTGCAGCTGATCTGGAAGCGAGGCCTCCTCCAGACACCATCTGGTACCTTTGGGCTGCCCGAGCCAGGGCCACCACTTGCTCTCCCCGGGGACCAGCCCTTAGCTGTGACGAGAGAGTTGCTGCCAGCACCCGCTCGCAGTGGAGGCAAGCAGAGCCTCTCTGGCCCTGGGAGCGGGTTCACTGCAAATGTGCTCTGGCAACAAGTTTTTCCTAATCTGTTTCTTGCAGCTGAGCTGGAAGCGAGGCCTCCTCCAGACACCATCTGGTACCTTTGGGCTGCCCAAGCCAGGGCCACCACTTGCTCTCCCTGGGGACCAGCCCTTAGCTGTGACGAGAGAGTTGCTGCCAGCACCCGCTCGCAGTGGAGGCAAGCAGAGCCTCTCTGAGCTAGACACAGCCCTGCCCTCACCCCCACTGCCCTCCCCAGGGCTCCCAGAGCTGCATCCAGGCTGCTGGGGAGGGGGCTCCCCTTTGGGAGCGTGACCCCAAGGTCTCTGCAGGGACTCAGTGTCTTCCAAGGGAACAACCTGGGGTCCCAATCCTTCCCCATGGGTGGGCTCAGCAGTCTTCCAGTCCCATGTGCCTCCTCCCTCCTCCCTTCCAGCGTTTCCCTGTCTCCATTTAAGAGCAGAAGAAGGACCTAAGTGCAGCCCAGCTCTTGCCCACCACCTCAGTGAGGCCAGGATGATCCCAGGGGTTGGCGAGAGCGGGGAGAGGGATTCCCAGCACAGCCCACATCCGCCAGCCCAGGGGACCCTGAGGAGCCTCCCAGGGGAGAGCACAGGGAGGGGAAGGCTCAGGCAGGAGCACCCACACCCACGGGGGTGAACCCCAGCGCTGCTGAGCTGCTTGTGCAGCCCGGGCTGTGCCGCCACGGCGTAGAGCAATTCACAGCAGCCGCTGCCCCACTCCCTGCTCCTCTGCAGCTGCCTCCTGCCCCCGTGCCCTTTCCCAGCCCGTCCCTGCCTGCTTGCTTGCTGTCTAGTGCTGCTGAGGCCGTGTATAGCTGAGGGCTGGCTGTGCCCAGCTCCCTGGGCGTGCTGGTGAGCGCCGGGGCGGGCGCAGGGCCCAGCGGCAGAGCGCGGACGCGTCTCGAGTCTCTTCATTTTTTTTGGTGAACATTTGTAGTTGTTTCCACAGCTTTGTCGTCAGAGAAATGATTCTGTTAAAGGGATGGTGATAAAAACCAAAAAAAAAAAAAAAGAAGAAGAAAAAGTAAAAAAAAAAAAGAACCCTTACGAAAAGCAACAACGAAAAGAAAACGAGTTATCATGCAGGAGTGTTCCTCTCTGTCTGCACAATAAAACCCTTCCTTAGGTTGTGTGTTGGAGCCACGGGCACCTGTGTGTGAGGCGGTGGGATGAGGGGCTGTGGTGGGGCTGGGCTCCAGCCTGTACCAAGGGCAGGGACAGCCTGTGCCCTCAGCACCCTGGACGAGGGGTACAGCCCCCAGCGTGCCTCCCCCAGGCTTCCAGCACCCCAATCCCTGCGGGAGAGAAGCAGGCAGGGGGGTAAGACTTGTCCCCCCTGAGGAGGGTGACCCCTCCTGCCCGTCTGGAGCACAGACCCCTGTGCCCAGACCCCCATTCCCATACCTGTCCCTATCCCCCCAGCTCCATCCCAGGGGTCCCCCCCTCCGCCCATTGTGCCGGCAGGGAGGCAAAGTAGGGGACCCCAGGTCTGTTCCTGACCTATCCATCCTCTGGGGTGGGAATTCCCAGGCTGGGAGCACGCATGGGAGCAGGGCTTGGTGTGCACGTTTCCCAAAAATCCTGTGTCCGTCATACCAGTGTCCTGCCTGTGCCCCTGTGCCCACACGCTGCCTGTGGGGCTGCCGAGGGATCCCGTGTCCTCTGGAGCAGCCAGAGCAGTCACTGCTCCTTGCCCAGGGTCACAATGCCACCCTGGCACCGTGGGACACGCTC